GTGATCTTACAGAATGTTCTCATGATAGTTTCTGACAGAACAATTTTCAAGTGTATTCTGTTTTGGAGGATTTAATTATCTTTCAGTATAAAAATTCTTTTACTGAATTTTACTTTGTTTTACTATTTGTAATTCCCAATTGCTCTGTCCTGCTCTTAGATTTTTTCCTTCTTCTAGCATTCTGTTCTTCTTTCCTGGATACACTATTTCACTGATGATACTTAATTTTTTTTTAAGTATTTTTATGCCCTCTACATTGGTTCTGTTTTGGGTGATTCCTCTTCCCCCCATACACACACCCTTATTCATACATGTTGAAGCTTTTTTATTTTTTCATGTTAAAGGCTTTCCTCTGGTATCTGGTGATTTTTGTTCATTCATATTTTGAGTGAAGTCCAAAAAGCTGATGGGAAGCTCTGAGTATGTGTTTGCAAATTGTTGATTGAAGGGATTCACTGCAGGTTTTTCCTATGAGGACCACTAAATGTCAATATCTGTAGCTCTTTTTTCTGGCACAGTACATTCTTTCCTGAGAAGTATCCTTTATTTTCTGCTGGAGAGTACAGCTGAGCAGCAGAAGAGGCCTGGGTGTCTGGCTTTCCATTTCAAATTTAATTTCTCTCTTTTCAGTAAGATGTCTTGTTACTGAACAGCAAGCGAGGTCCTGCTGCCTGCTGCCACCCTTTAGGCAAAATTCTGGAGACAGAGGTTTGGTGAAAAAGGAAAGAAGGCTTTATTCAAAAGCTACACAATTTTGGAATAACAGCTTTCCACATAAATTAGTCACTTAAGCCTATCAGCTAAGGCTAAAATCTTTAACTCTTGAGTTCCAGCTTTAATCACTTAAGCCTATCAATTAAAGCTAACATTTAATTCTTGAGTTCTCCTACCATTCCCTGTGCCAGTTTTTAATTACTCTATTTTTATAAGATTGGTTTACAAACTAAAACAACACAAGGTACAGAAGCTACACAATTTTGAAAGAACAGCAGGCTTCTGCCTCATCCCCTCTAGAATACCTAAAGAAAAATAATCCTGCCATCCTCTTCCTGGCCAGATCAATCCTAGGCTGCCCCCAGAGTTCCTTCTCCCATTTAAAATACTGTCCTTTGGGAAACACAGGTGGCTATAGCATGATCATCCAGACATCCTTGAGGAAGAGAAAGAGAGTCAGTCTCTGCTTTCCTCCTATTTAAATCTTCTGGCCCATAATTCCATGTGCACTGGAGGTATTCAGCTTCTCAGCCAATCCTGTCCTAGGCTGTTTACCATTGCCTTGGGCAGCCTCTTCCTATGGCCCTTCCCTATTCCTCCCCAGTGATCTGATCAGATCTCTCTGTCTCAGCTTCACTCCCACTATTCTATGCCTGGTGTCTCCACAACTAGAACTCCTTTGGTTTACTTTCTTCACAGGTGACATATCCTGTTTCCTATGGAGGTAAAAGTAGTAGCCTGATTTTATTAGGTGAGGGTGGGGAGGTGGGGATCTGACTACTTAATAAACAGTTTTCAAGCAAATCTCCCTCTTCAGCACTACAACTCTTGAATCTCCACTCCTGTAACTTCTCTCTGCACTCTACCTGCTTCTGATTCTTGAGTAGATCGAAGGGTCTTCAGTGTGACTTGCCTTGCTTCTCCTTGGTTTCTCCTTCTTCAAGCACTTAGGCCTGATCTTTTTGGGGTTTGCTAAGTTCCTTACCATTGTCCACCCACTTGGACTCTTGTCTATGTCCAAATTTATTTTACAATGAACACATTTAAAATTATCATGTACCAACTGAAATTTAATATGTACTCAGATCAACATAGTGTATATATCTTCTACTGCAGTGGTAACAAATTACAACAGACTGAATAGCCTAAAAAACACAAATGTATTATCTTATAGTTCTGGGGGGTCAGAAGTCTAAAATGGGTTAGCAGGGTTTATTCCGCAGTTTCCTTGCCTTTTTTCGCTTCTAGAGGTTGCTTGCATTCGTTGGCTCATCGAGCCTTTCTCATATCACTCTGACCCGTACTCTATTGTCACACCTCCTTCTCTGGCTCTGACCCTCTTACCTCCTCTTATAAGGACCCATATGATTAGGTCCTTTTCCTTATCCAGGATAATCTCTGCTTCTACAGCCTTAATTTAAGCACATCTGCAAAGTCCATTTTGCCACATAATGTAAGATATTCACTAGTCCAGGGGATTAGGATGTGCACATCTTTGGAGGGCCATCATTCAGTCTACCTCACATAGACGGTAAAATGTGAACCGCAGATGAACTAACTGCTGAAAGAAATGATAAAATCTTCACTCAACTATTTTAAGCTTTATATCAGAACAACCTCCAAAGATAAAAATAACAATATACAGATCTGATCTTGTATCATAGAAATGTACACTTGAAATGTATATGATCCTATTAATCAAAGTCATCCCAATAAGTTTAATTTTAAAAAATGCATCTGAAAAATGAAACAAACTTTTCTAAATTTTGAAAAAAATAACTTTAAGTGAAAAATATTATCAATATATATTTAAATAATAAGACAAGAAAACTAACAGAAGCCAATGATTGTTAAATAGACCACATATTATCAACTCAATAGTTGCCTAGGCTTCTATGTGCAAATCCATTATCATGCTTTTGTGAATCCTGAGATTTTTTGCTATTTTCAGGTAAGCACACCATTTTCTAAAGGCAATTATCTAATAATAACAACTACATAAAAGTATTTTTATTACATATATTTAAAAATAAATTGTAGCTGAAAAATAGCTTATAATTAGTATTGATTTTTTTTTTTTCAATAAATACCTCTTAACATCCTGCAGAATTGTTTGGGGAAATTATAATAAAACCTATTTGGGGAAAACCAAGTCCAACGTTCTTAATAATTTAGTTTAAAAGACCATTGTTTGATGCTTTATATTCTGAGTTACCTAGGAATGCCATGTGAATAAATAGTTCAAAATGACAGTTTCACAATGGGCTGATAGGTAAAGCTGCCATCTGGCTCTTCAGATTAAGAACCTCACCTGGCAACTGCATCTTAACTATCAACTTTGTCTAGTTAGTAATTTAATAATTTTATTGAGGGCTGACCTGGCTCTGATGCATTAGCTGGACAGCATGTCCTTTTCCCTTTGGAAAGTTTACTTGAGAAATTGTTTTAAGGTCAGAAAGTTGTCTGATGAATGTAGTTAAAATGTCAGGCTGCCCAAGCGCCAAAAATGCCAAGGAACCCACAACTCTTCATTCCATGGTCCCCTCTCCCTTAATCTGGTCCAAATTACAATAATCAAAATATTGAAGTAGGATGCTACACTGGAAAATATAGTACATTTGAAAAATGATGACTCAATTCTACCTGATGATTTCCATTGTCTTGGCTTGTATAGCTGAGATAGCTGCTTATTGCCTTTCTCTCAAATTTCTTTTCAATTCTTGCTTCTTGTAAAGCTGAAATATTTAAAAAAATGAAATTTAGCTTTACTGTATGTACGGTCTGATATAGTAGTCACTAGACACATGTACCTACTGAGCATCTGAAATATGGTTAGTCCAAATTTAGATGTATCATAAGTGTACACCAGACAAAATACATACCAGATTTTGAAGACTTACTTCAATGAGAATGTAAAATATTTCATTAATGATATTTATATCAATTACATGTTGAAATGATAACTTTTGGATTTATTTTGGGATATATTTAAATAAACTATATTATTAAAATTAATTTTACCTTTCTTTTGTTTTTAATGTACTGGAAGACTTAAAATTACACATATGATTCATATATTTTTATTTTTTATTTATTGATTTTAGAAGGAGGAAGGGGGAGAAGCAGAGAGTGACAAAAACAGAGAAACATTGATTTCTTGTTCCACATATTGATATATTATTGGTTGATTTTTATATGTGCCCTGGCCAGGGAATCGACCTACTCTAACAACTGAGCTAACGGGCCAGGGATGCTCAGGTGAGGGGAGATATATATATATAATCTCCTCATCCGAGCATATGTTTTTAATGATTTGAGAGAGAGAAACATCAATGTGAGAGAGAAACATCGATTTGTTGCCTCCCATACATGCCCAAGCCAGGGCTGGAACCCAAAACCTAGGTATGTGCCCTGACCGGGAACTGAACCCACAAACTTTTGGTGTCCAGGATGATGTTCCAAAAAACTGAGCAATGCTGCCAGGGCACGCTTCATATATTTTTATTGCATAGCACTCACTAATCTAAGGCTCCCTAAGGCCTCCACTATTACCTTCTTTAGCTGTTATTTATGGTCTTGCTTCTCTTATCCATTCCTTTTCTTTCCAGTAACTGCTTAGATTTAGAAGGTAAAATAAAAAGTCAAATTCTGTGACAAACCTTTAAGTCAAGAGAATAAAGTACACTTGATAGACAGTGAAAGTCTTCGTTCAATTCTCCAATTTATTGGATTGGTGCTATAACATTAGGGAAAAAAAGGTGTAGGGGGAGAATAGCTTTCGTTAGTATCTGTGGAAATTGTAGAGTAGGATTGTGTGTACATGGAGGATTAAAGACAGAAGACAAGTATTGTTCTGGGGAGGAAACACACAAAAGGTGTGGGACAAAGAATGTATTCCATCTGTAACCCTCACCACCTTTCTAGGTTTTTGATCTATTTTTCTTTCAGCTACACTAGTTTTTTCTCTCTTTTCCTATGTGTACTAATTTGGACGGTTCTGTTGACAGAATGTGGCTATTGAAGAGATGAAGGAAAGCTGCTGGGCGACGAGGATGTGGGGTGGTGTAGCAGATCTAAGATCTAAAGACCAAACAACATAGAGAGAGATGTTTATCTAAGTTGAAAAAGACCTTAGAGATCACCCTGTTCCATCTTCCACCCAAATCCATAACTCTTTTATATATGGAATAAAGGTTGCTTGTATTGTTATAACATCAATATTTATCTAACATACCAAATAATACTGAGAAATGGGGGAAATCCTCTGAAAATATGTTTTTCAACAGGGAAAAAACATGAAGAAGAAAAAAATTAATACTATTGTTTGTGAACCTAAAGAACTCCTGAATCCCTCTTCCAAAGTAACAAATTGTTGCAAATCGCTGTGGGTGAAATATAGTTTTCAGAAGGCATACATGACCAGACTTGCCAGCAGCCAGCCAGCTTCAGCCATGTCTAGGAACTCAGGTAAGATATTTGTATTGAACTAAGAGAAATGTTCCACTTAGCATGTATTTTTCTTGGTATTGAGGACACAAATTTGGGCATTAAGTAGATTACTTAAACATTGACTGTAAGAAGATAGTGGCAAATCTATTCATCAAAGTTCTATATGCTAAAAATCTAAAACTGACTCTGTTTTTTGCTTCATGGTATTAATTTCTTAGTTTCTATTAGCCCTGAATAATTGACCTGACAACGAATTATGATAATCCCAAAGCAATTTAAATAGATCATATTTATCTTTTAAGAAAAATTTGTCTTTAAACTTGACCTGGCAATGTCTGCATTCTTAAGGTAGGAAAAATTCAGTTTAGATTCCCTCTTGATTTGGCCAGCACAGGAAAGAATTGAAGGAAAGATAAACTTGAAATTTTGTTTTGCAAAAATGTATGATTTCTAAATGTTTCAGACCATTGACAAATTAAAGTCTTATGTTTTGAAGAGCATTATGGGTTTTTTAACTTTTTGATTAAAAAATATATATATACTAGACACATAAAAGATATTATTAAAACTAATCTTATTCTCCAACTTTAAAAGCATCACATGCCACTGAAGAAGTAGAAATTTCAAGCATAGTGATAGTGTCTGGTCACCATACCAAATATGGTATCCATTTTCCAGAAAGAACTGTTGACTTAAATATTGAATTTTCATCTGTGCAAGTGCCAACAATTCTCAGAGCCTGAGATTCTGTCACCTGTGAATAACATATATAGTTTTAATTGCGATGTAATCCATACACGATAAAATTTAACCTTTTAAAGCGCACAATTCAGTTTTTAGTATATTCACAAAGTTGTGCAGTCATTACTATTCTAGAACTTATACTTTACTGCAAATCTTTTCCGGTATGTTTTCACATTCACTATACCGCTTGATCCTCTGTGAAGCTGATGCCCTTCCGAGGTGCTCTGTGGGCGGCTGCCATGTTTACCCAAAACACTTTCCCAAGTAGTTTCACCTCAAAAAGATAAATGGTGAAGAAGTAATAATGCCATTACCTTTGGTTCAAGCAATAACAGCCTACAACCTAATCTACACGTGTTTTCGTGTCTAGAACTCTCGTTTTGCTCCGTATGCAAAATCTTATTTGTGACAGGTATTTTAGCCTGGAGGGTCACTAGTGTGCAGACGACAGCGGCTCCCCCAGTTTAGAGGCGAGAACCCACACCAGCCTCCCCTTTTCTTTGCACACTGTTGGGCAGCAGCGCATTTCGCCCTGGGTTTTATGATATCGCTAAGAAATGGGGGCTGTTCCGATTCAAAGAGGCGGTGTAAGGACATGGAGTTTTTATTCCGGCGCGGAAAGCGCCAGAAGCTAGGATAATCGGAGGCGCCCTGCAGTGTATTCCGGGTACCGAGTTTCCCTGCCTCCCACATCCTTGGGAGGCTGGAAGGAGCGCCGCGCGCCGCGCGCCCGCCGCGGGAGACTGCCTCTGGCCGCACGCGCTCCCCATTATCCACAACAAGCCCACGTGACTTCTACCGCCCAGCGCCCGGGGGAGCGCGCGTTTTCCCCGCTGGGAACCGACCGGGGGCTGCACGGCGTGGCGCGGGGCTGTGCGGGGTGCCTCAGTGGACCTGAGGAAAGTTCTCCTGCAAGCGACCTTAAAAAGTGGGGGGGAAAAAAGCCCAAATACTGCCTAAAATAAAACTCTTGGGACACAGATTATCGAGAACGTCGTTTATCCCCCCCGCCAACGGCTTTGGCCCTGGGCTGCGACACAGACTGAAAATGGAAATTGCTAGCCATTGTTAGCTGGGAAGTGGCTTGCTGAAGCCAAAATGCATCTCTTTCTTTGGGAAAGTCTACACGTATGAACAATTCTGGGGAAAAAGAAAACAGAATTTTTGTATGGGGAACTAAAGCCAATTTTTCTTAGAAAAGTTGAGTGGTGGGTGGGTGGGTAGAATCTTGGAAAGTCCAGAGAAACCATCCTGATTTGTCATTTAAGGGAAATTAGAAACTCTTGGGAAAACGGAAATGAGTAAAAACAAAAAGAGATCTTGCCCGCCTCTAAAAATGTAATAATTATTGATAGGAAAGGGAAGTTAAAAAAATCTATATATTTCAATATATTTATATATGTATTTGTGTATAACTACCATAAATATAATATATTATTGTAGAAGTCAGAAGAGAGTCTAGTGATTCAGCTGCTTTCTTCCTTTAAGAGTGTTTGGATGCTTATTTTTCCTCTTTTAAGGCTTATGAACTCTCCCTCGCCTCCTCCAGGAAACAGCTTCCTTATTCTTACAGTGACATAGTATTTCATTGTGTGGACACACCATTGTTTATTTAAATAATTTCCTATTGATGTACATTTGGGTTGTTTCCCATCACTTAATATTGAAACCAATGCTACAACAAATAACCTTGATTTGTAAAATGTGGTAAATAGATAGGTTGACCCCTAGAGATGTACCAATTTATATTCTCACCACCAAATGTGAGAGTTTCTCCAGGCTTTTGATAAGGTTTTATACCAAGAGTTTAAAATATGTGGATGTGCCTTATTGTTGCTATTTTACAACTTTAAATGAAAGGAGAGCTGTCTTCAAGACAAACTAAAAGGCAGAGCTGTCCTTAAACTTAGAGAGTAGCCAACGCTTTCATCTAACCCTAACTCTCTTTGCTGTTTCATTCTCTCCACCCCCTTCTGCAACTGCATCTTTGCAATCACAATCAACAATATCTGTTGAGCACCATCTACATGTAGGGTGCTAAGCTATGTCCCAGAGTTATGAAATAGATACATGACCTCAAGTGTTTCATCATTTAGTTGGTCACACTGCACAAACTATAAATAGTTATTATGTTGAATTCCAGAATGCAAAACACACCTCCTGCTTTCAGCACTCTTAATTGCATTCCTTCCTCCACTGCTCCTCTTTAATCCCTCTTCCTAATGCAGATGATCTACTACACTTTGTATTTCCTAGGTGACAATGAGTTAATCAGTTAAACAGCTGCCAATCTCATCATGCAGTTGATTGGCACAGGCAGGGTTGCCCCTAAACTCTGCCTGAAGTAGGTGACATTTGTTTGGAGGGCCTCCCCACTTGGTTCCCTTTTCTTCCCTCTGGGGCCTTCTCTTCTGAGTGAGCTCTCAGCCCTTATTGGTGCCCTCACTTTTTCTTAGATAATTGTCAAATAACCATTGCTGCACTGTTAATTAATCATTAATGTGTTATTTCAAAATGGCTTGAGGTAAGGCTGCAATTTTCATTAAAGGGTCATATATTTCACTTACTAGTTAAGCAGCCTATTTAGGAGCTCACCCTTGGTTGTGGTGAATTAATGCATTGAGACCTTGTCCCTGCCTGCCCAATTCTATCTTCTCCCTCCTACTCTTTACTCCGGTTGCAGGGCCCTGGAGCTCTGGGGACTGTTGTCCTCAGAGCACTTAACTCTGAGACTCAGTTGGCAGCCCTGGCTCAGTGACATCTGGTGGTAGGAGAGGGGTGCTGTGGAGTGGGTTGCCCTCAGGCACTCTTCTCATTGTCTTCTCACAGTCAGCTTGCAACCTGGCTGCCCTCTTGTGAAAGGTGGTTTTTCCAAGTCTATCACCCTGCATAAGTGGCTGCCCTTCCCACTAGATTGCAATGGTTCTTGCTAGTTGTCCAAGGTATTTAAAAGTGTGTATTCAGGTAATGCTGCTTCTTTTTTATTGTATTAAAAAATTTTAATCAAAGCAACTTACATGTTTATAGAAGAGAAATCTAGTACCGGAGAGCTTATGGTGAAAAGAACCTAAAACAGTGCCTGAAATATAGAAGGCTGTCTATAAATATTTGTTGAATGAATGAACGAATAAATGCAAAGTTAGTGTTCAGCCTCTCCGTTTCACCTCTACCCTGTCCTGCTGCCCCATTCCCAGAAGGGGAACTCTTTCATTGGCAATGTTTTCTAGTTTTCTAGATCAGTGATTCTCAACCCTGGCTGCATGCTAGAAGCACCTAAGGAACTTAAAAAAACACAAAACAAAACCCAAAAAACCTATTTGTTGTTTTATCTCCAGACCAAGAAAATTCTTTTTCATTTATTTATTTTTTTAGGTCTCTAAACTGATAGTCATGTACTGACAGAGTTGGGAACAACTGCTTTATTTTCTTCTATCTCCACTTATTTATGCCATCCATTGATTCCTTGACATGACAGATGAGGTTTAGCTCGTATCACACCCTCTCTTTTCATGTTTGACGGTCAAATTATTATTTTAATACTTCTGTTTTTTGTCTTTGTAAACTTAAATAATTTAAATGCCTATTTTTTATTTCATATATTTTCGGCAATATCAGATAACTCAGCATTTTATAAGTTGGAGACACTAACTTCCTTGCCTTCTATTCACTCAGCCTTCCACAGCCTGCTGTTTGATTTATATATCTTTTTATTTTTCTGTGGCCAAAGTTGTTAATATTTACACTTAAAAAAACATTTATTTATTTATTTATCCTCACCCGAGGACATGCTTATTGATTTTAGAGAGACAGGAAGGGAGAGAGAGATAGAGAAACATCTACTGGTTTGGCAATCGGGGACAGAGCCCACCAACCAGGCACATGCCCTGATTGGGAATTGAACCTACGGCCCTTCAGTATGCGGGATGATTCCCAACCAGCTGAGCCACACTGGTTATTTATTGATTTTTGGGGGTGGGGGTGAGAGAAAGAAATATGGATTTGTTATTCCACCTAGTTATGCCTTCATTGGTTGATTCTTGTATGTGTCTTGATGGGGGGTTGAAGCTGCAACCTCAGCATATAGGTATGATGCTCTAATTAACTGAGCTACCTGGCCAGAGCAACATTTACATTTTTACCTGCAGCCTCAACCAACTCTTCCATACTTTGTCCATCAGTTGATTCTAAGGTTAAAAACCAATAACCCTGGTTTACATTATGGTATCTATGTAAATATTTTCTAACACCAAGTCCAGTAGTAGTAACTAAGACAT